AGTGTTAACTCTGTTTTTTCCTTCACAGATGCTGCCAGACCTGCTGAGCTTCTCCAGCAACTTTATTTTTGTTCCTGATTTACAGCATCCGCAGTTCTTTCGGTTTTTATTTACTATACCTTCTGGAGTTTGGAAGAGTGGGAGGTGATTTTATTGACTCTTAGGGCTTGGCAGGATGAATATTGAGTGTTTCCCTGCCTGAACAGACTAGAACTAAGCAGTACGGTCTCAGGAGAATAGGACGTTATGGACTGAAATGAAGAAAAAATCCTTCACTTGAAGGGTTGTGAATTTTAGAGCTCGAAACGTTCTGTCTTTGGATATTTCAACCCTGAGATCAATAGGTTTTTGGACTCGAAGGGAATTGGGGATATGGGAATCCGATGGAAGAAAATTTAGTTGATGTCAAGGCTCAGTCATGATCATCTTAAATGGCTGAGCAGGCTGGAGAGATTGTGCAATCCTATGTGTGTTTTCCCAAACCACAGACATACTTTGCACTGTTGCAGAGTCCCACAATTTCAGGATTCAAGTCCCACTTCAGGGCTTCAGCATAAAAATCTAAGTGCAGTACTGAGGGAGTACTGCCGATCCTTAGAATCCTTAAAGTGTGGAAGCAGGCCGTTCGGCCGAACAAGTCCACCTCCATTCGCCAAAGAGCATCTCACTCAGACTCTCCTCCCTGCCCTATAACCCTGCATTTCCCATGGCTAACTCCCCTAACTTACACATCCCTGGACACAATGGGACAATTTAGGATGGCCAGTCCACCTATCCTGCGCACCTTTGGACTGTGGGAGGAAACCAGAGCACCCAAAGGAAACTCATGCAGACATTGGGAGGACATGTGAATTCCATGCAGTCGCCCAAGGCTGGAATTGAACCCAGGTCCCTGGTGCTGTGAGGCAGCAATGCTAACCACTGAGCCACCATGCCACCCGTAACACAACATATTTTTATTCTTTATTTCACTCATTCACAGGTTGTGGGCATCGCTGGCCAGGCCAGTATTTATTGTCCATTCCTAATTGCCCAGAGGGCAGTTAAGAGTCAACCACACTGCTGTGGGTGTGGAGTCACATATAGGCCAGAATGGGTAAGGGTAGCAGTTTACTTCCCTAAAGGGCATTGGTGAACCAGATGGGTGTTTTTGACAGTGGATTCATGGTCATTGTTAGACTCTTAATTTGATTGAAAGCTTTTACTGAATCCAAATTCATCACCTATGGCAGGATTCAAACCTGGGTCCGCAGATTATTTTCGGGGTCTCCGGATTAACGATCTAGCGATGATACCACAAAGCCATTGCCTCCTTCGAGGAGCCCTCTTTCAGCTAAGAATTTAGACCGAGACTCTGCCTGCCTCGGATGCAAAAAATCCCATAGAACAGGGGAGCTCTCGCTTTTGAACCAGAATGTTACTAAGGCTGGATTATGAGGAGAGGCTTGTCATTCCTAATAGGGAAGTTTAAGAAGTAATTTGATTTAAGGTTCTTAGGAATTTGTGAAAAGATTTGATAAAGAGAAACTTTTTCGGCTGGTGGATAATTTGGGACATGTGGATAAAACCGGAATCGGGTTCTTCGAGAGCAAAAGTGGGAAACATTTCTTCACACAGGATGGTACAGGTGTTGAATTTCTTCCACAAAACACAGCAAATGCTAGCTCAATTAATCGTTCTAAATATGAGATTGAAGATAATTGTTAGACAAGGATATGGTGCGAAAGCAAGCGGATAGCGTTGGGGGATAAAAACAGTGGTTATCTTGTTGAATGGTGGAACAGACATTAGATGCTATCTGGCACCGTAATAATTTCACTCAACTCAGTTGCAGCAAAACACTCTCTAGTTCTCTTATGCTTCTGATATCTGATCTAACGTGTTATTAATTTATTTCTTGGACAGAATCTCCTTCGCATCCACAGTTTGGATGTCAGCCAGAGGGGAAGTTCTGCATCTCTGGGTTCAGCCAGGACAAACGTGAGAAGAAGCGGAGCTCTAACCTCGCCTTGCTGAAGAAGAAGCTGTTCAGGCGACGGAAGTCAGCCAAGGCAGCTGACCATGCCAAACACATGCGTGAACTCCTTTGCAGTTGGGACGTGCGGGATGTAGGTCTGTTGGTGAAGCAGTATGAAGCCGCATTGGCTGTGAAGGAGCTGGTGATTCAGGCATGTGTAGCCAGACCAGAGGCCAGCCGGTTAAATGAAGACCTGGCAAAGCTGTATCAGTTCAAGTACTGTACAGATGTGGACCTGGTATTCCAAGGTACATGCTTTCCTGTCCACCGTGCTATATTGGCAGCCCGGTGTCCTTTCTTCAAAACTCTCCTTTTATCCAACTTGGACCGTGCTGAGCTAGTCATGGACATCAGCACTGTTGGAATAGACATGCAAATACTGTCATCCCTTTTACACTACTTGTATAGTGGAGAATTTGGCATGCAAGATTCCCAAATTAAGAATGTTGACATTTTGGTCCGCCTCAGCGAAGAGTTTGGGATGCCGAATGCTCTTCACTTCGATATCTACAGCCTCCTGGAGAGCTCCTGCTATTATGATGCAGTCCTAAGCTTTACCTCTAACCCTGACGCCTCTGACAACTTTGAAGGATGCTGCCTAGAGGGAGAGTTCCGCTGTCACAAGGCCATCCTGTGTGCTCGCTCTCCATTCTTCCGCAATCTCCTCCAGAAGCGCATTCGCACTGGTGAAGAGACCACAGACCGGACCTTGCAGACTCCAGCTAGGATTGTGTTGAATGAAGCAATCATTCCAAAGAAATACGCAAAAGTTATTTTGCACTGCATGTACACTGACCTGGTTGACCTAGACTTGGTTCTGCCTTTCAGCCCATCAACTGGTAGCTTAAGAGAAGTGCAGGATGAAACTGGGAAGGACAGTGAGACCCGATTGGAAAGTGCTATGGAGCTGTTCCATATAGCACTCTTCATTGAGTTCGATATGCTGGCACAAGGTAAGGGTGGAAAAGTTGGTGTTGATGTTCTCTGGGCGCAGACTGGATTGATCAGGGGAATCTTATGACAATGACAGTACATATTAGCAATTCTTTGAAGATGACAGGTCAAATTAGTAGGGCTGTTTAAAAGCACACGAGAGATTCTTGGCTTTATAAGAACATGCTGAAAGCACAAAAGCAAGAAGGTTAACACTAAACCTTTATGAAACACTGGTTATACTCCATCTGAAATATTCCTTCCACTACTGAGCACTGATTTTTAGGAATGATGTGAAGACCTTCAAGGGATTGCAGTGGGGATTTATTAAAATTATGTCAGGGAAACAAAGGCTACAGGGAGTTGGGAGAAACTTTGAGTTGCTGTCTCTTAGAATAGAGACACTGATAAGATTTGATAAAACTGTTTAAAATCTTGAAGCGTAATGAGAGAAACAGTAGAGTATGAGAAGGTTTCATAATTAGAGGACATAGATATAAAGTGAATGGTGACAGAAGGGGAATAATTATGTAATGAATTGCTATGGTCTGGAATGCACCATCTTAAAAAGGTGCTGGGGACAGATTTAGCAATCGCCAACTTTCAAAAGGGAATTGGATCAATGCTGGAGGGAGAGAAATTTGCAGGATTTTGAGGAAAGAATGGGGAATGTGGGATTAACTGGGTAACTCTTTCAAAAGAGTTGGTATGAACGCAATGGGCTGAATAGCCTTTTCCTGTGCTGTTTCATTCTATGATGGCAAAGTTACTATTTGCCATTTGGTTTTATTTATCTTACTCTGATGTTACAGATTTAAGTAAAATATGTTGTTTTTGGCTTCTGGCATGAAGTGGATCATAACTTTCCTCATTTGTACTGAACTAAGGTTTCAAACACTGATTGAAGTGACAGGGCTTATGGGAGCAGAAGTAGGTTGTTTAGCCTATTGAATCTGTTACACAATTCATGAGATCATGTCTGATCTGATGGTCCTTAACTCCATTTTCTGCCTTTGACCCATAACCCTTGATTTCCTTGCTGATTTAAAAATCTGTATCTCAGCTTTGAGTATACTTTAACTACCCAGTGTTTACAGTTAAGAATTCCAAAAAGTTGACTACCCTCTGGGAGAAGAAATTTCTCATCTGTCATAATTGGGTGATCATTTATTCTGAGTCTATGTCCTCTGGTCCTAGGCTCTCCCACAAGGGGGAGATGCCTCTCTCCGCTATCTTGCCAAGTAGCCTAAACATTGTATATGTTTTAACAAGGTTGCCTCACGTTCTTCTAAACTCCAATGAGTACAGGCCCAACGTTTTTAAAAAAAAAACTTTCCTCTAAGATAAACTTTCTGTACCTGGAAACAATCTCATGAACCTTCTCTAGACTGTCTCCAACTATATATCTTTTCTTAGATAAGGGGACCAGACTGTTCACATATTCCAGGTGCCTTATGTGGAGGCAGTTCCGAGAAGGTTGATGATCCCCAGTAGGAGGAATTATCTTAACAACAGAAGTTAAAAAGACTGGGACTTTACTCATCCTCATTTAGAAGAATGAGAGGTGATCTTGTTAAAACATAGGATTCTGAAGGGGCTTGACAAGTAAATGCTGAAACCATGTTGCCCCTTATGGAAGAGTTTAGGACTGGGGGCATAGTCTCAGAATTAAGGAGTGTCCATTTAAGACTGAGAACAGAAGGAATTTCTTCTGAGGATTGAGAGTCTCTGGAACTCCTTGCCACTGAGAGATGGGGGCAGAGTTTTTGTGTATGTTTAAGGCTGAGATAGATTCCTGATTTGTTGTGGAATCCAGGGTTATGGGAAAAGGGCAGAAAAGTGAATGTGAGAAGCCATGATCTTATTGAATGGCAGGACGGGCTCAGGGGGTCTACTGTTGTTCCTATTTATTTTGGTTTTATGGTATAGTTTTATCAAGACCTCCCTGTTTTTATATTCCATCCCCTTTTGTAGTAAAGGCCATCAGTCTATTTGCCTGCTGAATGTGTAGATAGTTTTTTGTGGTTTATGCATGATCCCAAATCTCCCTGTATTATAGCCTTTTAGCCAATTATCTGTTCATGCTAGTATACTATCTCCAACACATTGGCTATTATCTTATTAAGCAGCTTAACATATGATACCTTATGAAACGATTTCTGGCAATCCAAGTACATTACATCCACTACTTTCTTCTGTCCTGCTTGTTACCTCATCAAAAAAATTCGAAGAGATTTGCCATTCTGCTATTACATCCTTTAACAGATTCTAACATATTTCTAGTAACAGATATTAAGCTAACTGACCTATAGTTTTTTTTTGTCTCCTTCCATTTTTCAATTAAAGGTGTTACTTCAGTTTTCTAATCCTCTGGGACTTCTCTACAATCTAAGAATTCTTGGAAGATTACTGCCAGTACATCATCTATCTCTGTGGCTACTTTCTTTAATATCCTAGGGTGCATCCCATCAGATCCAGGGAACTTAACGGTCTTTAGCCCCATTAGTTTCCCTAGTACTTTTTTCTCTAGTGATAGTTACTGTGTTTATTTCATCTCCTCCTTTTGTCCTTTTGATTTATTTCATAATTTTAGAATACCATGTGTCTTCTACAGTGAAGACTGATGAAAAATAATAATTCCACATTATTATTTCCTCTGCCTCATTCTCCAAAAAGGCCTATATTCACTTTGGCCCCTCTGTTACTTTTTATATGTTTAAAAAGGTCTTGCTGACTGAGGATAAAATTGCAAGTAATATCAAGACAGTTGAATTTCTAAAATCTTTTGGCTTTTAAAACCGTCCCAATCCTCTGTCTTACCACTTATCATTACCACATTCCAAGTATTTTTTTTCTTTCTATTTGATGCCGTTCTTAAATTCCTGGTTAACCATGCTTGGTTCATGCCCTTCATAGAATCTTTGTGAGCCATTAACTATCATTTCTTGCTATTGTACTTATTCCAATCCTTAATAATAAAGCTACCCCATCACCCTTACTTTTCAAAAGAACAGACAGAAGAGATACTTAACCCTGAATATTTAGTTCCCAGCTTTGATCTCCTTGCAACCATTTCTTCTTAATGGCTATAAAATCATACTCATTAAACCTGTATTTGTGCTGTTAATTAATTGATGTTATTCCGAGCACTTCATGTGTTCAAGAGCAGTTAATTTTGTCTTTTTATCACTTTTTTTTCCCCAAGACCCTATTTACTGCTGATTATCTATGTATACTCTGTTCTTTCCTGCCCTGTTCTGAGTATTGTTATCCAAGTAGCTGCTCTGTGATGCTATTGGATCCTCTTGCTGTGCAAATTTACATTTCCCCTCTCCCAAACCCTCCCCTGCAACACCCCCCGTCCTCCCAATTAATTTAAAGCCGAGTATATTTCCTTTCTTTGCTGGATGTATGCATCCTTCAATTAAATAGATTAGGGGGCAGTTCCGATTCAGTATGAGATCTTGTTTGATGTTGGGAGTGCATGCCCTCGTGAGGAGTTTTGAGCCCTCATTGGAAGCAAAGAAGTGTAATTCTTGTATTTGTAGCAGACAACAGCATTTAACAATGGAAAGGGAAGATTTCTAAGGGATGGGTGAGATCAGGAGCTGTTGGACCTAAGAATTTTTTCAAAAATGTCTTGAAAGGAATGTTCATATTATATCGATATAATAGAAATATATCATGACTTTTGAAGAAGTTGGTGAAATTGAAGTTGCTTGTTCATTTCGACTTCGAAGAAGGTTTTTTATGAAACTTCCACCTGGAAGTCTTTTAATTGAGCTGTGAACATGGCTTGACTTAAGTTTGTCTTTAATTTAGTGCCACTACATTGGCAGTTTGGCTAAGAGATCTAAATGGCTGTTAAGAGAACCCACTAGTGATTTGTATAAAGTTCAGTTATGTGGAAATGTTCGTATGGAACCATGAGCATATGAGCAATTGCATTTTCTATTTTAAACAAACTGAATTTGCTTTCAAGTGTGAGCAGCCACCTCGGATGTCTGTTACTCTAATTTGCATGCAATTATGCATATTTTTATTGGTTAAAAGTTTGCTTTTGTATGGTTATTTGCATTTAAAGCCATAGGATTATCTTCAGTTTTTATTAACACTGTCATGAATGTTTGTTGGATGGAATATGGATCCTTTATAACGAAAGTATGTGGCCTTGATGCTCCGTATATTAGCAAACTCCTGCAACCCTCCAAGAACTCTGCTTCCCGTTATGCCTGGCCTCTGAGTAGCCCTGTTTCTTTTGCTCCACTATTGGTAGCTGTGTTTATAGCTGCTAAGGGGAGGGGAGGGATTGATGGCAACAGGAAAGTGGGGCTGAGACTACAACCAGATTAACTATGGTGTTATTGGATGGCAGAACTGGCTCGGTGGGCCAGATGACCTAATCTTGTTCTTAAATCCTATATTCCCACTCCACATCTCTCTAACTCTTTTGTCTGTTCTTATGATCTCATTTGAAACGTACCCCTTTTGACCAAGCTTTTAGTGCTGCAATCTCCTTACATGACTGTGTCATTAGTCATCGAGTCATACAGCATGGAAACAGACCCTTCAGTCCAACCAGTCCATGCCAAACATAATCCCAAACAAAATTAGTTCCACCTGCCTGCTTCTGGCCCAGATCCCTCCCAACCTTTCCTATTCATGTATCTATCAAAATGTCGTTTAAATATTGTAATTGTACCTGCATCTACCATTTCCTCAGGAACTTCATTCCACATGCGAACCACGATCTGTGTTTTTAAAAAAAAAAAAAAATTTGCCTTGTGTCTTTTTAAAATCTCTCTCCTCTCACCTTAATGTACCCCCTAGTCTTGAAAACCCCCTTCCTAGGGAAATGACAAGTACCATTAACTCTATCTATACCTCTCATTGTTCTGTAAACTTGTTTCAGGTCACCTCTCGATCTCCTAAGCTTCAGTGGGGAAAAAAACGCCCCAGCCTTTCCTTATAACTCAAACCCTTCATACCTGGCAACATCCTGGTAAATTTCTTCTGAACCCCCTCCAGCTTGATAAATCTTTCCTATAACTGGCGACCAGAACTGGACACAGTATTCCAGAAGAGGTGTCATCAATGTCCTGTACAACCTCAACCTGACTTCCCAACTCCTAAGCTCAAAGGACTGAGAAATGAAGGCAAGTGTGCCAAAAGTCTTTTTAACCACCCTATCCATATGTGATGCAAACTTCAAAGAACTATGTACCTGCACCCCTAGGTCCCTCTGGTCTACAACACTACCCAATGCCCTACCATTAATTGTATAAGCCCTATCCTTGTTTGTTGTAGCAAAATGTAATACCTCCCATTTATCCAGATTGAACGCCATCTGCCATTTTTCAGCGCATTGACCCATTTGATCAAGGTCCCTTAGAAAACCTTCTTCACTGTCTACTATGCCGCCTATTTTGGTGTCATCCGCAAACTTGCTAACCATGCCTTCTATATTCTTATTCAAATCGTTTATATAAATGACAAACTAAAGAGGACTCAGAACCAATCCCTGTGGAACATCACTGATCAGACCTCCAGTCTGAAAAGCAACCCTCCACCATTACTCCTGTCTCCTGCCCTTAGGCCAATTATGTATCCAATTGGTAAGATCACCCCTGAATCCCATATAACCTAAATTTGCTAATTAGTCTAGCACGCGGAACCTTGTCAAAGGTTTTACTAAAATCCAAACAAACAGCATCTGCTGTCCTGCCATCATCAATCTTTTTGGTAGCTTCTTCAAAAATAACTCAATCAAGACGCAATTTTCTTTGCACAAATCTGTGCTGACTAGCCCTAATCAATTTTTGCGTCTCTAGATGTTCATAAATCCTATCTTTTATAATCACCTCCAACAATTTACCTACAACTGAAGTCAGACTTACAGGTCCATTGTTCCCTGGTTTCTCCTTACAACCTCTCTTAAACAAAGGTACAATGTTAGCCACCCTCCAGTCATCAGGCACCTCACCCGTAGTTATAGATGATGCTAATATTTCTGCAAGGGGTCTCGTAATGTCCTCCTTTACTTCCCACAGCGTCCTAGGATACATTAGATCAGGTCGCAGAGATTTATCCACATTTATATTTTCTAAGACCTCCCGAATGTCCTCTTCTGTAATGTGAACTGTTTTTAAGAGAGTTTATTTTTCTGCATTCTCTAGACTCCATTTCCTTCTCCACAGTTAAAAACTGACGCAAAATATTCATTTAATTACTCCCCCATCTCCCACAAAGAAGACCTCCTTGATCTTCAAGAGGCTCCACCATCTCTTTCATTAGCCTCTTGCTCTTAATGTATTTGTAGAATCTCTTTGGATTATCCTTGACCTTATCTGCCAATGCTGTGTCATATCCCTTCATTCCCTTCCTGTTTTTTCTCTTAAGAATGCCCCTACAGTCTTTACATTTCGTTTTTTGTTTGGTTTTCTGCTCTTGTGATGTTGTAACACTTTAAATGTACTAAATATAAATGGAAGTTGTTGTCCAGTGTACCTTCTGTGTGATTGTGACTAATCTACTTTTATCAGGAGCTTACAACTGTATCTGCCCTTACAGGAGACTGACCTGGAAGCCCAATTCGAAACTGGCGTGCTGACTTCTGTAGCAAATTGATTCGGTTAAAAAGGACATTCACTGCACCAAACAAAAAAAACCTTTTTATGAATACTTTTACTGCATTCTTTTGCAAACGAATTCAAAGCGACCAGTATATAAATGACAAAGGATAAGATTGAAGCAAGACTTTGAAGGTGCAGAGTCGGTATAAAACGCCACGTTGTGAAGTTAATAGACTATGTTGCCTCAACACTAGAAGTTAACTCAACAAGTTAGAAGAAGTTGGAGCCAGCTGTTCAGTTCTCTAGGACTGCAGGGTGACCACTATGTATGGTTTCACAAAGACTGAAACAAGGGAGACATTTAAGGTGGTGGAGGTTGTATAGATCAGAGCAGATGTTGGTCCCTAGACGTTTTAGGTCTGAGTTAGAAGGGGCAAACTTGGGTGTTCCACCTGCAGGGGTATTCTTTTTAAAAAGTATATTAAATCATCATTGAATATATGGCAACGGTTAATTCAGTATCTTCAGTGTAAGCATTGGGCAGCTTCTCGGTCAATGTGACACCAATTCAAACTCAAAAGATAATTTTAAGACCGGAGTGTTTATACTAGAAATGATCAATACTTAGAATTAACTCATGAAGCCAGATATAGAGACAAAGCCTCAAGAATTAAAGAAACAAGAACTTGTGACAACGTAGAGAGAATTTGTTTATTCTAGATGGGGGTCCTCATCCATGGACATCTTGTGATCTAACAACATCCTCTATGTATAGATTTGTTGTCAGGATCTTATTCTCTGGCAGCCTTGGTTTTCTAAAGAGTGTGTGTGTGTGTGTAATATGGTTATGCAGTAAAGAGCTGTTCAGTATTTAAGCAGGAAATCAAAAGAAAGACATTTTGTTCACAAAGCTGTAGGATGTGCAGGAATGACAGGAGAATGGAATTAAAGTGGTTTGCTGTAAATGTTGGCAGAGAGACAATGGGTGATTTCAGTTTAAAAAATCAAGCTAGCCAAACGGTTTAACAAAGGATGAGTGAGCTGTGAAATCAATTAACTCGGAAAGTATTGACATGAACATAAATAGATTCAAAAGACAAAGGAAAATGTTCCTGCGTAGAGAAGGGATTAGGGGATATGGTTTGAGATTGATCACAAAGGCACTGGCTTTCTAAGAACTAAGTGTTTTGCTGTTCTAGTGTTCTAACTCACATTTTTATTCTCTCCGCAGGCTGTGAGGACCTGATTGTTGAGAGTGTCACACTGGACTCTTTAATTCCTATCCTGAAGTGGAGCTCTCAACCATATGGATCTAAGTGGGTCCATCGGCAAATGCTGCATTTCCTCTGTGAGGAGTTCAGTAACGTCATCACTTCTGACATTCTGTATGAGCTGAGCAAGGAGCACCTGATGGCTGCCATCCAGTCAGATTACCTGCAGGTAATTGACTCTGTCTGTAACTAATAAAGTTCAGATCTTCTTCAGGAGCCTCAAGTTTTTAAGAGAAATGGTGTCCCGAGCAATTTTGATTTGTTTTGAATTTTAGAAAGAAAGTGCTCAAGGTTTTTATTTGGAGCTGTATCTGATGGGAGAGTTTTGATGTCAATAATACAAGAATGAAACTGATCTTTAGTGATTTGCTTCTGGTGGTGTCAGCAATTTGAGGTGAATAAAGAATCAAAATGACATTGAATGTAAAAAAAATCACCCAGAAAATGAACTTCAAGCCTATCTTGTCTGTGCCATTTGTTTGAAATAGCTACCAATTTAGTTCCACTCCTCCTCCTTTCTCAACAGCTCTGCATATAGTTTATTAGCAAAGTATTTATCCAAGTCCCTTTTTAAAGTTGCTGTTGAATCTGCTTTTATTGTCCTTTCACCGCATTCATCGTACCTGGCTGTGTTTTTTTTTAAAAACAATTTTTCTTCCAATTTCAATTTGTGTCCTTTTACATGTTCACTTTTATGCTGCTGGAAACAAGTTTTCTTTGTTTAACTTGTGAAAGCCCATCATAGTTTTCTACCAGATTTCTCTCTTAACTTTCTGTATCCTAGAACAATCCCAACTTCTCCAGTCTCTCCATATAACTCCAGACTTTCATCCCTGGTACCATCCTAGTAAATCTGTTTCTGCACGCTATCCAAGGCCTAGCTAGAAATTTATAAATTACTTGATTATAAGTGGTGAACTTTCCATGATCATCAGTACTTATTTGCTAATTACTCCCGGTGACAATGCTGGAGTTCAGAATGGAATCCAGGTGGGAATCTGCCATTTTTACTGCTGCCTATTGTTGTGGAGTTTAAGTTGCCTTCTGACGCCAAGTTGTGGGTTTATTGGCACCTGGTCCCAGTTTGGTCAACATGATGTATTCTTTCAGGTTTTGAATCAATGGCAAGCCCAGCAATGTACCAAGTCCGATTTCTTCATTGGCATTTGGCTGTTCAGCTGTACCACTAACCGTTGTTTTGTTTTGCTCTTGAAGTGATTTGAGTAAGTTTTTGTGTCATTTTGTTAAAGTTTAATGCATTTCCCGGAGTCTGTTGTTGCTCTGAGGACAATGCCAGAAAGTAGTGCCTTTCAGCATTTCAGTACAGAGCAAAAGTTGACCTGCTGTTGCAGCCCTAGGGGGAATGCTTTACTTTGAAGCTATTGCCTCTCAAAGGGGACAATAAACTAGCAGTCCGTCTACTTGCTCTGTTAATATGGAACCCACTGTCCTGTTTATTTGGGAAAGTAAGTGGTCTGTTATCCTTTATTTAAAAGAAGTTGGAGAACAAGAGAAAGAAAGTAATATTGCAATTGTCTAGGACATTGGTGAGACCATACATGAAATCAGTATAGGGTTTGTTTTTTTTTATCTTGGGAAAGGTACAAACTTCTTGGAGGGAGTGCAAGGAATGTCACTAGGTTGATTCCTGGATTGAGGGGATTGAGAAGATTGAGTAGTCTAGGGTTATTATTTCTAAGAATTTTGGGTGATCTTGGATTATCAAGTTAAGAGGTTTGACAGCAAGCCTCCCCCAACTAGGGAATCTGGAAACTGGACCGAGTCTCTCAGAATAAGAGGGTGACCATTTCAAATTGAGGTGGGAAAAGGATTGTGAAGCTTTGGAGTTCTGTGCCCTAGAGAGCTGTTCTCTCCCGCCAACACCGCAACCCCGCCCCCCCCAAGTCAACACCCACACCTCAATTAGCACTGTGAAAAGCAGATTAACCAATCTAATTTCTCTTTAATTGTTTGTTTCTGGGCTCTATATGTAAATGAGTAAAGTTTGGTATCAATTACATATTTGTGTTAATAGTTCAGGGATCTGGACTAATGGTCTAAATATTTTTGATTTCACATACCACCGTAGCGAGTTTAGAATTTGAAGGCAGTTTTGTATTTCAAAAACACAGTGACCCATGGATTAAGAGATAGTAGGAACTGCAGATGCTGGAGAATCTGAGATAACGAGGTGTAGAGCTGGATGAACACAGCAGGCCAAGCAGCATCGGAGGAGCAGGAAGGCTGACGTTTCGGGCCTAGATCCTCCTTCTGAAAGGGTCCAGCCCCACACCTTTGTGACTGATTCCTAATGTTCTTTGAAATGGCCCAGCAAGCTACTCAGCCCTGGTGATAGGCAACAAATGCCAGTCGTGCCAGGCAACAGCTGCATCTCAAGAATTTCTGTAACGAAAATAATTAATTAAGAATCAATTATTGTAGCACAGGAGGAGGCCAATCGGCCTGTTGCGTCTGAATGTCTCTTGCACCCTTTCCCTGGTCCTGCACATTGCTCCTTTACAGACAACAATCTGAATTCCTCTTGAGTGTCTTGATGGAATCTGCTCCCGCTGTGCAATTGGACAGTGCATTCCGGACCCTAACTGCTTTTGAGCAAGACAGTGTTTTTTCATATTGCTGTTGCTTCTTATGCCAATCACTTTTTAAACCTGTGCTGCCTTGTTCTTGATCCTTCCACCAGTGGGAAGTTTTTCCCCATCTGCTCTGTCCAGAACCCTCATGACTTTGCCCTTAGATTAGAAGCACTAAAAGGTGTTCAGTGACACAGTGAGATGTCCAATCACAATCTCCCTTTTGTTTCTTTCCTCCAACCCCATCACTGGTACTGACAATAACAAAATATAAATGGAAATTGATGATGACCGCAAATGATAAAGGATGTCTTTGCCTGGTGTTTACACCGTTGAATCGACAAGGACCCTGAAGTCACACCCTCCACCCAAATGTTGCATCTACCTGCTGACTTTGTGGTGGCATTGCTAATTGCAGCAAGTGCCTGTTTTGTTTCAGAAAGGACAATAATTTGTAGGGCTATCTGTGTAGCCTCTTGTTTGGACCTTGAACAAATAGACTTCAATTTTCTGTAGTGCTTGAGTATGTTCTAAAGTACTTCACAGACAATTAATTACTTTTAAAGTATAATTGCTGGAAGTGTAGCAGCCATATTGCATACAGCAAATCCCCGCAAAAGGCAATGATGTAAGTGATTGTGTCATCTGCTTGCTTTTGGTGTTATTAGAGGCAGACAAAAGTATTACACAACTGACTTGTAACTCGGGTTGAATGCATGAACCTTTTAAAGAAGGCTGTGTGGATAAGTAGAGTTCCCTCTGCGCCCTGACCAATTGAATGTGAATTTTAAATATGAAGTGAAAATTCAGGAAATACATAGGTCAGCCACTATCTGAAAAAGGCTAATGTTTCATGTACAACCTTCACTGAGACCTTGTGTTTAATGGGTACTGTTTTAAATTTTGTCATGTATTATAATCAGCACTATCCTCTTCAGTAAGTGTGTGTGTGTGTGTGTGTGTGTGTGTGTGTGTGTGTATGAATCATTTTCCTTTTTAAGTTTTTGTTTGTGTTAGATTATAATATCTCCACTTTCGACTAATAGCTGTAATGGATATGAATACCTTTTAAACAAATACATTGGCATAAGCTATGATGCAATGAAATGCTTATTTAATACATGGGATTATGTAGAAGTTGTCACACAGAAACAGGCCATTTGACCCAACTAGCCAATGCTAGTGTTTATGCACCTATTGAACTTCCTCCTATTTTACTTCATCTGCCATCATACTCTTTATTCCCATCTGTCTCCTAGAACTTGACTATTCCACTGTAAGTGCAAATGTATTAGTTTGTTCAAACACTCCCTGTGGTAAAGAGTTTCAATGTAATGGTGCAAAAGTTTGTTGTATTTTCAGTCACAGGCGTTTGTGTTTAAAACTTGCATTGTTCTGTTCTGATCCACTTTCAGTATGAGGATTGGTATCAGCCGCTTCTGCATTGCTCCAATGCAAGCACCTGTCAGCTTGTAGTCCTGAATAGCTATTAACAACAGCAGGGTCAACATACTTGGCTGCCTGTGACATGGTGGAATATTCAGTGATCTATCTGGCTGCTGGCACGAGCAAATCTGGCAATTCTTCTTTGGTTTTGCTGGATAAGCTAGTCCTGGGGTCTTTGTAAGGCAGAAGATACTGTCAGCCATCAGTGCACTCACCTTTGAGTCAGGAGGTTTTATCTAAGCTAACACTTGGTCCTGAAGCAGTGCTGCATTGTTGGAGATGCGGTCTTATAGATGAGATATTAAACTATGGCTTCATGTAGCCCACTTGGCCGTTTTGAAGAAGAACTGGCAACTTCTCCCTGCTGTCCTGGTTAATATTCATCCCTCAGTCAGTATCAAAATAAAACAGATGATTGCTGTGCCACCACATTTGCTGCCATGTTTTCTATGTTACAACAGTTTATTGGCTATAAAGCACATAGGTCATGGACTTTGACTGTCCCTATGTTGTTAAAATGCAAGTCTTCTTTTACTTGTGACATTTCAGAGATTAATACAACATGAAGACACCTGTGATGTGCTTTAAGATGTTGTGCAATTTGTTTGCTTTTTTTTTAGTGTTTAATGTTGAGCACTAACTGTGTTCAATGAGAAGAAACTTTTGAAGTCGAGACTTTTTGTGGTTTGGAGCGTGTTGGGTTGAAGGGGTTAGTGGAAGAACACTAGTCTAGGCTGTAGATATAGAGGAGGGCTGTGCATTTCTTTGAGCAGAAAATTGTCATGCTATCTCCTTTTCTCCTCCTTTGAGCCAATTTCTTTGAAGTGTTTTTATTCCGTCCCTCTAATCATGTCTGGTTGCATCCAGAAGGATTCTTGAAAGTAAAATGCTCTGAGGGAAGGGCACTGAAATATAAGCTTTATGTAAAGTACTGTGCTGATGGAACTATATCATTAGTCAGGGATGTTTTAATTCTAGCTCTGCAAGGTTCGCCTCAAATATTTTGCACTACATCATGCTGAGCCTGTGGAACATATTTATACTTGCAGTTTCTATCACTAGTTAAAACTGTGTTCACTAGACACTGTGTAACAATTTTCTTCGTTTAAAACTGATTCACGTGAAGCTGAGGGAAATTATTATATCACAATCTGATCAAATTGATAAGTGTGAAATTATAGAATCATGGAATAATCTAGCACAGGAGGAGATTATTCTATCCATTATACTATGGTGGCTGTTTAGAATCCATGCTGTATATCAGAATAGGAGGAGGCCATTTCACCCCTCGAGCCTGTTATAGAATCACTGGGGTCATGACTGAATTTAGTATACCTGTCTTTGCCCTGTATCCCTCATACATTTGGTTATCAGAAACCAGTCATTTTGTTGGATTTAAAATTAACAATCTATTCAGCATCAGTTGTCATTTGAGGAAAAGAACTTCGAATTCCACCACCTTTTGCATGCACAATGTTTACTCCTGAAAGTCTAGCTCCAATTTTTAGACTGTACCCTGAGTACCAACACACTCCAGTCAGCGAAAATAATTTGTTTACAACAGCATATTTGTTTGGCACCTTTTAACACAGTAAAATGTCCCAAGGCACTTCATAGATGCTTTATAAAGAGAAATATGATACGAGTAACAAAGGGGTTATTAGATCACATGACCAAAGGCTTGGTCAAAGAGGTAGATTTTAAGAGATCCGTCATTTTCCCTTAGTACATTTTTCTTTCTTTTTCCTCTCGGATATGGGGTTTGCTGACAAAGCTAGCATTTGTTGTGCTTCCTTAATTGCCCTTGAACTGAAAAGCTCTTTAGGCCATTTCAGAGGGTAAATAAGAGTCAATCACATTGATTTGTATCTGGAGGCACATGTATGCCAGACTGTGTAAGAATGGCAGATTTCCTTCACTAAAGGAGATTTGTGAACCAGGTAGCGTTTTCAATAATAGATGAACATTTCCTGGTCACCATCGCTGAGATTACTTTTCTACGTCCAAGATTTGTTAATTGAATTTAACTTTCACCAGCTGCCACAGTGGGATTGGAACTCCTGTCCCCCAACTATTAACCTGGGTCTCCAGGTTGCTAGTCCAGTGACATTGCCATTACATCACTGTGTTCCCCCAAGCTTCAAAAACTTGGATCAAATCATCCATTCACCTTCTAAAGTAAAAGTATTGATATGCAGAGGGATCTGGGTGTACAAGTGCACAGATCACTGAAGGTGTCAGCGAAGGCAGATAAGGTAGTTTAAAAAAAAAACCTATAGTATGCTCGCCTCCATTGGAGGGGGACATTGAGTATAAGGATAGACCAGTTATGCTGCAACTTTATAGAACTTTAGTTAGGCCACATTTGGAATGTTGTGTACTGTTCTGGTCACCACGCTACCAGAAGGATTTGGATGCTTTGGAGAGGGTACAGAAAAGGTTGCCTGGTATGGGAGATTTTAGCTATGAAGAAAGGTTGGATAGACTGGGTTTGTTTTCACTGGAACTCGGGAGGTTGAGGGGGCGACCTGATAGAAGTTCATAAGATTGTGAATGGAAAGGATAGAGTGGAAAATATGAGACACTTTTTGCTGGGGCAGAGGGGTCAGTTACTAGGGGACACGTGTGTGTGTGTGTGTGTGTGTGTGTGTATTGGGGAGTGGGTGGAATCTTTAAATCTTTAAAAGAGATCTGCGAGGCAAGTTTTTCACACAAAGGGTGGAGAGTGCCTGGAATGCATTGCCTGAGGAGGTGGTGGAAGCAGACATAATAACAGCATTCAAGAAACACCTGGACTAATCCATAAATAGGAAGGATCCTGGACATGAAAACAGTTTTAGAACGGAAGGGCAGGCTTGGAGGGCCAAAGGGCCTATTCCTGTGCTGTTATTGATCTGTTCCAAATTCCAACGAATGCAGTGTTAGTTCATGTATTTGCTCCTTATCATTAACCCTTACATTCACAAGAACAATACCTGAACTGGATCTGCACTTCTCTAAGGTGAGCATATCTAGCCTAAGGTGCGGTACTCAAATGAACACTATACCAAGTGTGTTTCAGCTATGGCTTTGTGTAGTTGATGCATGACCTGTAACCCCTCGTATTTTGTTTTCCAATATTAGGGTGTTTAGTCAAACTATGAGTAGCTTGAGCAGCCTTGGACTGCAGAAGAGAATCAGTTGCAGCTTCAGCCACTTATTATCCTCAGTTTGAGCTAGTGGGGATGCAGCAAGATTGTGTTTGATAGTTGTCAGTTCTTACAGTCAGTTGATACTTGCTGTCTGAGGTGCAGGTTCAGATGTAAAACTAAAGGACTGCAGGTAACTATTCTCTTCCCAAGAGAAAAATACAAAGGTACAAAAGTTCAGCATTTTTAATGTCTGTTCACAACCTTGACGTGTTTCTGACCTATTCCTACCATCACTGAGACTGTGTTTATCTGTTTTCCCCCATTGTAACTTTTCTCCATGTCTCAGCTGTTGAACTGATGAAACACTCGTTTGTGTCTTTGTTACCCTTAGACTTGATTATTCCAACACACTCCTGGTTAGTCTCCCATCAACTGCCCTTTATAACTTTTAAGACTATTCAAAACTCTGCCCATGTCTTAACTTGTCGCCTCAGTACACATTGATCCACATTGGCTCCCTGTTCAGCATCATTTTGATTTTAAAATTCTCATCCTTCATTTCAGATCTCTCTATGGTCTCACCCAATCTCTATATTCTCCTCCAGCCCTACAGCCTTCGGCAACCTCTGTCCCCTATTTCTGGTCTTTTTGTGTATCCGTGATTTTGGTTGCACCACTATTGGTGGCTGTGGTTTCAGGTGCCTGGGTCCAACACTCTGAAGCTTTTTGCCATTCTATTTCACTTTGCTTCTTCAGTTCACTTGCCTAAACGTACCTCTTGGTCATTTGACTTAACTCCTGTGCCTTAGTGTGATATTTTGACCTATAACATGCCTTGGGATGTTTCATTATGTTAAGGTGCTATCTCAACACAAGTTGCTATTGTTGGTGGAACTGTGCTCCATGAGAGAGTACCTTTTGTGAAATGAGGGTGGAAAAGAGAACAGTTTTAAAATAAAACCTGTGATACTGATGCTGACATGGTGCCTCTTCCCCCCAACCTTTACCTACCTCCCCTACCCACCCTCCTTTGCAGGCAAGTGAACACGATATCCTGAAGGCTGTGATTAAGTGGGCAGAAAACCAGCTGGCAAGGCGTCTGTCAGATGAAGGTAAGTTATTTGCAGGTGTACTGAGTACAGTGGAGACTTGCTAAGCTGCAGCCCTGGAGTGCCTGCTGGTTCAGGTGCTCTAGGCCACTTGCTTTCTATCGTACGTGCTGAAAGTCCCTGTTGTTACCTTAATAGTTTTGAGCTGGTGTCTGTGCTTAGTCACTGCTGGTGTTTACTGTTAAATAAGAGCATTCCTGTATAGTTTGGCTGTAAAAATGAAATTGGGATCTAAATCCTCCCACCATGCGCTTGCACACACTCTGTCTTCTCTCCCCCCACCCCCCCCCAATCCGCACATGCACACACACCTCCAGTTGTCAAACATGCTCGTAGCCTGGTCAGATGCTGTCACTTCCCAGCTCGTTCTTCTGTTTGATTGATTGTTTTCAATTTAAGGAAGCAAATCAAGGTATTCCTTTTATTTTGCTCTTTTGTGATGGTTCTGTTAACTCAGGTGGCAAATGGCACGAATGTTGGACTGAATTACACCAGCAGCGAGCATTCAATCCCTAAACTAACTGTGTTTGCTCATGGAGGGAGGCCTGTCCGCTTTCCTTTCCCGGTGCTTAATGTGGAGTGATACCCCTGAAGCTACCCGTAAGTTCCTCTCCAAGCCACACGCCATCCTGACCTGGAAATATACCAGCCGTTCCTTCGCTGCTGCTGGGTCAAATCCTGAAATTCCCTCCTTAACAGCACATCAGATGTGTCTGCGCTGTATAAGATGTCAGCTGTTCAAGAAGGTGGCTCACCTTTGCCCCCTCATGGGCAATTAGGAATGGATAATAAATGCTGGCCTAGCCAGTGATGCCCACATCCCATGAAAGAATTCTTTAAATATCCAGTTACATATATTTCCTCTATTAGAGAAGGACCTATGGCCCTTGTGGGCTGTGGCTAATTGTCTACTTGGTTATTTCTGCTCCATTACTACTTTAGTCTGCATTCCTCCCCCTCTCTCTTACTGCCACCCCATCCTAAAAGCTTTCAGTCACCAATCTTAATATCTCCTGTTGTGAACCAGTGACAAACCTTTGCCTGATAACATTCACGTGAAGTGATGCATGATCTTTGCCTACACTGAAGGTGTGATATAAACAAGAGATCTTATTGTGATAACCTTATGATTGAATAACCACTTGATGTTTATTGTCTAGTTCACACACGAAGTGTAGCCACTTTAGGGGTTAGGTAACACAGGTCAAGCTACACAACTGCAGCTCAGCTTGATACCACGTGCAGAAGGGAAGGGAGGTTTCTTGCTTTACACAGCATTTTATTCTTTTTGTTTTCCTAACAATCTATTGCTCCTCTAAATTGGCATCCTTTTGGGGAGGGAGAATAAATTAACTTGTGTCTGTGACTTTTTTAGAACCATGTTGAATGAGGGCTGATGCAAAGTTTGATTTTTGTTTTTAATGCACTGAAGGATTGTTTGAAGTAATGTAATAATTAGTGGGTGTGGATGGTTCCTTTTAAAAACCAGTAATAGTTGAATTTGGATGATTGCATGTGTCGACTAGTTTGGAGCCAGACTCAATTTACGTTGGCGCTTCTCTTGCTGTGATCATAATTGCTTTTATTTGTAGAGTACTGACACCTGAATTAACACATTGCAGCACACACTGAGCGTGCTTATATACTTTGATTTCTTTTCATTATTGTTACTTATCACACCTTTATATCATAGTGACAAAAATCTCTTGCCACAATAGCTTGTGAAACCTCCCTTTTAATTTTATTGCCTGTTCGGGATCTGAAATGTGCAATTACTCATCAATGGCTTAATTTGCACAGAACCTAGAACGAGTGCATCTCCACATCAGGACTTCAGTAAACACCGTGGTTAGGAGCATTTGTTTATGATAATCGAAAATGCCAAACTTCGTGCCTGTTACATTAAGTTCTAGTTTCTTATTTACTTAGAATACACAGCACAAAAGTTTAAACAGTCCAGCCAGTTCATGCTCCCCTCCCGTCTCTTGTACTTCTCTATCTAGCTGTTAACATTTTCTATTGTACTTATCTAGACTCCTTCAATGCATTTGTACTATTTGTCTCAACGCATTCAATATTCTCAGCATTTTGTACTGATGTTTTGAAGCTCTCATTCCATTATACTTCCCTCCCCCCTCAACATGAAAGCTGAAGACCTGTGTTGTTTATCATCATTAACCCAGCAATAAATGTTCCACCCACTGACTAATTCAGCGGAACATTTTATTCAATGTTCATGCAAACAAGTAAACTTTAAACTTGGTAAGCACGCCAGCCTCTGTGTCTGTGTCTGTGTTCACGTGCGCACGAGAGAGAGAGTTCACAGATTCTAACACCTAAAAGGTGAATTAAGAGTAGATTTTGGGCAGTTGTCCTGCAGAAAGTGATCAACGTTTAGAATTGTCTCACAGGCAAAGTAGTGAATTTGAAATGCTCTGAGCCATTTTAAAATCAGTTGAGTGCAACTTCCCATAGCCTCAATCATTATAGTGCAGCAAGAGTCCATTCAGCCCATAGTGAATTGTTCATTCAAAGAGCTGGCAGACACCGGGCCATGTTCCCACCATCTCCCCATAACCCTGCACATTATTCCTTTTCAGATAATAATCCCTTTTGAATGCTGCAGTTGAACCTGCCTTCATCACACTCTCGGGTGACTCTAACCACTTGCTGCGTATCCTTGTGTCTCCCATTTTCTTTGCCACTTACTTTAAATTTGTTCTCTTTTTGTTGATCCTTTTGAAAGTGGGAACAGTTTCTCCCTGTCTTCTTGGTCCAGACTCTTTGATGTAGAACACCTCAGAACTTGAGAAATGTTTATGATGTTCCTAGACAGCTGCCTTCAGATACACTTAGTCACTATTTTCATTCATTATTCTATTCTGATTTATTTTGTGCTAAGGCAGTAGAAAGTCACATGTTGGGAGTGTGTGGGGAAGAGAGAAGGGGGAGTAGTCAGGTACAGCATTAGTCTATTGTGCAGCCAATTGGCTGCATGGAAATAACCTCCCAGAATATATCAAACAGTTATTATTGAGTGGAGGACTTTGAACAGAAACTGATGCCCTGGGCTTCCCCCTTGAGCTTTACATAGGCAAACAATAATGGTATTTAATGTGTGTCAGCTGAGTGATCATTGTAACAGAATGAAAGAATGTAGTAAACTTGAGAATCGTACTAGTGGTGGATCACGGCCTCTCGTCCGTCTGTTGAGTAGTTTCTACACTGCATTCAGTCTATGTACACAGTGCTGACAAGGTATCAATGAGTGTGGGTGCCAATTTTAAATTTATTCTTCTAATGTCCATTAGCTTCCCATTTGTGAAGCTTAATTAGCTATTTGCACCTATTCTGAGCATGTGGGTGTTGCTGGGAAGGCCAGCATTTGTTCCCTAGCCCTAATTGCCATTTTAACTTTTGGCCGCAGTTAAAAGTCCGTTGCATTGCTGTGGGTCTGGAGTCACATGTAGGCCAAACCAGTTGTGTGTAGTAGATTCCTTCTCGAGATGATGTAAACAAACCAGGTGGATTTCAGTTTAATGACAGTCAACACTACATGTCATAGTTCACTGAGACTAGCTTTATACTCAATTTTGCTAATTGAGTTTAAATTGGTGGGATTTGAAACTGCATCCCCCAGGCATTACCACAACTTCACCAGTTTTCCCCAGGCTATTGTTCCTTTTTCTTTTAAACACAAATAAAGAACAACTTGAAGTCTACTGGCTTAAAAGTGAATTTATATTCTAATAAACCATCTGCAATTGGGGCTTAGCCCCCAGTTGATGGGAGTTTTCCATATAGTGGGATCCATGCTCAGAATTCAGCTATATTTGGAGTATCAAACCACTCGCTGAATTTATTCAGTTTAATTTCCTAGTTTGCTTAATTTCTGTCCTGTATTTCTGCTCCCTCCCAACATATCTTCAAAACCTAGACATTCAGACAGTGTCTATTGAGTTTCTTCCATTTCAGTGATGGGATGTGGATTTATGTGACTTGAGTCTGCCTCAACAATAAACTTGATTATAAATAATTGCCAAGTTATAGCATAGATATGCCCAAAGGAAGAGAAATGGGTTAACCTATGCTGTTTGCTTTGTAAAGCAACCTCAGCAGAAGCCTGAGCTCATAGCCTTGGTTGCCTTTTTGATTTTGAGCAAGGCACTTGGTGCTAACAGACTTGTAGTAAAGAAATATTGAAATCAAATTTTATAACTAAAGTTTTGCTTTTCCTTTTCCATTATGTAGAGCCCAATTTACTGAACGGGACAGCGCACAGTGTCAACAAACGTGGAGTGAAGAAGCGAGACTTAGACTCGGCCCAACTCCGTGAAATAGTTTCCGATCTGGTGCCACACGTTCGCATTGCTCACATCCTTCCAGCAAAGAGCGAGATCTTGGCTGATGCTGTAAGTGGCTTTGTAGGAATTCTAAGAATAGAGATTTGCAGCACAGAACATGGTCTTCAGTCCATTGTGGGGGAGGTGGTGTTGTGTTGATATCACGAAATCAGGAATCTAGACCCTTTGGCTAATGTTCTGGAGACACTGGTTGAAATCCTGTGTGGCAGCTGGTGAAATTTGAATTCAATTAGAAATTGGGTATTGTCATAAAAACCCATCTAGTTCACTAATATCCTTTTTGGGAAGGAAATCTGCTACCCTTGTCTGGTCTAGCCTACATGAGACTCCAGTGGTTGACTCTTAACTGTTCTCTAGGGGTGGGCAATAAATGTTGGCTGAGCCAGCAATGCTCAAATCCAGTGAACAAATGTTTAAGTCCGTGCTGGCTCTTTGCTACAATATTCCAAACTAATACCATACCTCTCTCTTTGTAAAGCCCCCATATCTTGACTGTCTAATTTGCTATTGCCAGGATCTTACTCAGTGCAAATTGATAACAGAATTTGTCCGTGTAACAATGACGACCACATTTGAACACTGACTCCTTAGATGTGAAGCAATCAGAAAAGCTCCAAAGACAAAGTCTGTAAATAAAAGCTCTTTCCCTTGGCTGACACAGGTCTGGATGTGGCTGCTCTTGTTTTGAGTGGACGAGCTGAAAAAAAATCTTTTGAGAATTACTCTTGAGGCCAGATCCTAAGAAGTGAAAGAAATCTTGTTTTAGACACCCTGGTCTGCATTTGTTTGCTGTTGCAGATTTTCTCGCATTTTGCAGTGGTTCATTTCCACTACCTGGATAATTGCTGATTTCCACAAAGCTTACTGGATTTCTTAATTTCCTGACTTGCCTATGCAAGCCACTCAAAACCCAATTCTAAGTTTGGATTTTGCTACAGTCAGACTTGGAATGATACAGCCACAAAGGGGTCTTTTGACCAATTGTCTCAGTGTCACCTCTTTGGTCGAGCTAATCAGTGAGTTCCACTAGTCCACATTTTTCCTTATTCAGGTGTTTACCCTATTACCCTTTAGTCTGAGTTTGATTTATTGTTGTCACATGTACCAAGATACAGTGAAAAGTACTGTTTCACTGCTGATCGTACTATACAAGCGCAGCAGGGTAGTAGAACAGAGTGCAGAAAACAGAGTTACAGCCGCAGAGAGATTAACATTAACATTTGAGAGGTCCGTTCAAAAGTCTGATAACAGTGGGGAAGAAGTTGTTCTTGAATCTGTGTGTGTGTGTGTGCGCATTCAAACTTTTATATCTTCTGTCTGGTGGAAGAGAGTATAATAACCAGGGAGGGAGGGGTCTTTGCTGGTTGCTTTCCTGAGAGAGCAGGAAGTATAGATGGAGTCAGTAGATGGAAGATTGGTTTATGGTGATATCTGGGCTGTGTTGACAAAAGTGAATTTAGAAAGCTACCTGTGGATCTGATTTCACTTCTCTTTTCAGGTAGCACATTCCTGATTATAACAGTGGTGTGCAATTTTTTTTTTCTCATGAAAGATTGGAATAATCAGATGGACAAAGATAGCCTAGATGAGTTAAGTGTTTTCTAAATGGTGACTCACAACAGCGTGATCTGGAGTGAAGCAGGGAGCAAGCTGTGCTATACCTGGTATGGCACAATGTGAGATGATTAATTAACTAATAATAGCAGCAATCGTAATATGAGTGAAGTTTGCATTCACTTTTTGGAGAAGAGGAGGGTGGATTCAAGACTAGCGTTTGACTCAGGGCAGTTATGAGGCTATTGAAGCAGAGCTAGAAAAATGAGCTGGATCATCTCTTTCTAAAATTTCTGTCCTTGTCCTGCTGCAGTGTACTAACAAAGCCCAGTGCAATCCTAAGGAATATTACCTCACTTTTCACTTAAGCACTTTATAGCTTCACAACTTAACATAGAGTTCAACAACTTCAGAATATGAACACTAGTCTCCATTTTGATTGCCCCTTGCTCCCGCAGATTTTTGTTTGCTTTCCTCAAAGCTGATCTAGTTTCAACTATTAGCACTTAATTTGTATCTATAACCCTTCTTGACTACCATTACCTCTGTCTGTTTTCCCCCCCCTCACCCATCTGCCTGACACTTCCTCCCTTTCCCATCCCCTTCTGCCTGACTGACCCTCCCTCCCTTCCCCATCTGTCTGTCTGTCCCTCCATTTCTTGTGTTCTAATCTAATATACACCAAAAAAACAGTGGCACTGCTGCACTCGCAGCACCAGGGACCCGGGTTCGATTCCACCCTCGGGCAACTCTGTGTGGAGTTTGCACGTTCTCCCTGTAGCTGTGTACATTTCCTTAGGTTGCTCCGGTTTCCTCCCACAGCCCAAAGATGTGCAGATTAGGGTGGATGCACCATGCTAAATTGCCCAAGGCGTCCAAGGATGTGTAGGTTGGGTGGACTAGCCATGGGAAATGCAGGGCTCCAGGGATAGGGTAGGGGGGGTGGTCTGGGTGGGATGCTCTTTAGAGGATCAGTAAGGACTTGATGGGTCGAATGGCCTGCTTCCACACTGTAGAGATTATGATTCTATATGAATGGTGGTTCTACTAGGTCAATTATTAATAATAGAACTGAGACAGATTTTTGTTAACCAGTGGTATTAAGGGATATATGGCAAAGAAAAAGATATGGTCACTGTTCGGCCATTACATATTTATGGGCAGATCAAACTGGAGGAATTAAATTACTTCCTCTTATTCCTTTTGCCTGTGGAGTCCCTCTGTGTGCTCCTGTCTGCAAAACAACCTTTTCACCGCTAATTTCTGTTAGATCTTCTTTGGCAAAATCCCTTTTCTTGCTGTCCCTTTTAATCCAGTGGACTAGAATTTGGCCACATGCATTGAACAAACATTTTTGCATTTAGCGAATCCTTCACTATTAACTTTGAAAATGAGACATGATCTAGTGTTGAATATTTGCATTCTGTGACTGGAAAAGGGAGCCAGCTTTTGTGGAAATGTGTTAATATATTCTCTTCAACTGTATTAAGCCATGACAGGACGAGTCATGGCTGCCCTGTTATGTTAATTATTGTTGCTTTGATCCCTGATCCACAGACCGCATATTTGAGTAACTGCCAAGTATCTAAGTAGCAGGAAACATTGGCCAGGATATTTATTTGAAATGTTCAGACTCATCCCAAGTTAGCTGATTCTAGCCAATGCTAAGGCAGTGAGGAAGGGCCCTATGTTTGGGGGATGCGGGGCCTTGGCAGTGGTGATTTGCATTCGGTCTCAGCATCTCTGATTTAGGAAGGGGACAGGTAGCCTCTGACTGACAATCTTTCTGATTGATGTGCTGTGATACAGATGGAAAGTGTGTGTGCATGGTGGATATCCACTGAGGATAAGATCAGGCACAGCAGTGAGATCTATCAGGATTGAAGAACTTGCCAATTCATTATTGTCTAAGCTGCTGTTTGAAGAGCCATTTGGCTTGGGTTGAGGAGAGTCTGTGGAACCAAACTGCAGCATGATTTAGTGCCTTCAGGAGGACAGGAAAAAGGAAAATTAACAACACAAATGATGAGCTCTCAATATTTTCTTTCTGACCTAAATTTGCTCAGTCCAGCAATACGTGGATTTCAAATTCCTGTCTTTGTTAAATTCCATTCACAGTGTAATTCCCCATGGTTCTCTGGGTTCCATAAGGTGAAATTCCCACCCTAAATGTTCAACCCCCCCCCCCCCCACTCTGTCCTCCCTTGACTGAACCCCCTCTCCCCCAACCCTGACCACACTACCACCACCACCACTTCATAAGCTCTCGAGTCAGTTGCGCCAGCCAAACTGACTGTGCTTCATTATGGTACCAAATCAAAATAAGGGATGGCTTCATAATACAGCAGAAGTTTTTCCTCAACCTGCACCGATGGGACCAAGAGTGGACCAGTTGGTCAAGTATTCTGGTTGATCTGCATAGTCAATGTAAAAAAACACACAAAGTAATAGAAACATAATGCAGGGGTACACCCATCACTGTTATATTTAATCAACTTTGCCTTAAGTAAAATTTACCTGCAGGGAGCTGCCTTACTCGCATCCTGAACCGACTACTCGGACATTGCAGAGATCGTGACGATACAGTAAACTTCCAGTATTTCAGGTTTATAATTTTTGCCAGTTTATTGAGTGCAGTGGATCATAGGTGCCAGTTAAGACTAAGTTTGCTGTATTTGCTTTGTCTTAAAAAGAAAATAGACCTGATGACCGTCAATTTTTGAAACTGAAATCTGAAAAAGCCAAACTATTGCAAAGTATTACAATAATATCACTTTGCCTCCCTTTTGAAGTGACTGATTCTTGCTGGAGTACTACCTACTGTTTCATACCTTGCCTGGAGAACCTCTTTAGATGTAGGCCTGTATAACAGATATTGTTTTATATTTTAATGGTATGGGACCATCACACCAAGTCCAAAACTTTCCTTGCTCTATATTCACATAAATACATTTCTTATCGATGGATGGGGACAGAATCTTCCATTCTAATCCATTTTAAAACCATTCTTTACACTGTGAACAGGGAGACGGATACCATAGAACCTGATTTGTAGAAATCTGCAGCTTGGAAGGCAGCTACTCAACTCATTCTGTCTGTGCTGGCTGACAAACTTCCAGCCTAACGTAGGTCATAGGCTAAAATACACAATGTCCTATTTTTAAGAAAAAGCTATTCCAAAAACTTGGCTGTACATCAGCTTCTGTTGAGCTAATTGTGCATTTGCATAAGATGATGTGATATCCCTATGCAACCTGCTGCGAATGCATATTTAAAGGTGTATCTCAATGCTTCATAAATGTTTTCCTGACCTGACCACACTTTTTTAAGCTTCAGGCTTCTGTTCGACCCCTAGAGTGGACATTTTGGGTGGAGTATCTGGCATACAGGAGTGATTGGAAAGTTGTTGAGTAGTTAAGTCTCTTTTTTGTTGGTAAGTGAAGTATATAATAATAGAATTTTATAGAACAAATGTTAAAGTCCTGGAGATAGCA